TCCCCCACGGAACTGCACCCAGCAGGGGTATCTGGAACTTTACAGGGCTGAACCAAACAGTCTCCTTTTTGGGTGTGGTTCCCAAAGCCTGCAGGAAGGGGTGACGGGCACTACCTATCTTTCTCGGGACAATGACTTGGAATTCGCAGGAAGCTCGGATCTGCCTCTCCACAATGAAGTCACAGAGTTCAGCACTCATCTATCTGTGTCCCTGACAGAAGTCTCCCTGCAGACACCATCCAAAAATCCCAGCTCTGTACAGCACTGGTGCCCCTGTACTACCCAACCAAGAAGGAGGGTACGGAAAATCAGCCCTAGAAACCAAGATGGCGGCATAGGTAAACACCGGAAATTGCTGCCTCGCACAACCACTTCAAAAATACAACTAAAAGACAAAACGGACATCATCCAGAACCACAGGAAGGCTGGCTCAGTGGAAATTCTACAACTAGAAGGAAAGAGAAAAGCACACTGAGACTCAGAGGAGGTGTGGAAGTAAAGTGCAGAGGTACGGAGGCACACGCAGAAAGGGCTGGCAACTGAGGACGTGGTTGTCTTTTTCAATCAGGAGGGAGACACAAGCTCCCGACTGCTCTGAACTCCAGTTCCGGGCCTGTCTCTGGGGACCCAGACTCATACGGGGAGAAACTGGACTGTCTGGCATCCGGGGGAACTCGAGGGCAGCTTTCTCTCAGAGTTGCTTGCAGTGATTACCGGGACACTGAGACACGGGACCTCTTAGGACAGGACTGAGGATCAGCCATAGCTGTTTGCTCCGCCCTGTTGATTCCCTGAGACCCCGCCCCACCCAAGGTGTGCACAGAGGCTTTTGCATATGAAAGGCCTGGCCCTTTGCAATCTGAAAATTACCTAACAAACGGCAGCTGGGTCAGAGAGACCCAGAACTTCCAAAAGAAGGCCCAAGGCCCCACAGCAGCTTTCATTGCTTCACAGCTGGGCCTCATCTGGGCACCTCCAAATCTAAAACAAAGAAGAGGAATCTGCAGATCTTTCCGTAGCTCCTTTGGGTAGCCTCAGGCAGAGGCTAAATTAGCACCTCCTTAGAGATCCAAGAGCCAGTGTACCCAGTGGTCAGAGTGGGACCATCCAGATTACAACTCCTCAGATTCATAAGGAACACACTCAGGGGGCAGACTCAGTGAGCACCAAAGCCCCACTGAAGCAAGTCTTGCCCCAGAAGGGTGTCTTCAGCACAGAAGTTCTCCCACTGCAGACACAGCTGATTCTCACTGCCAATTGGCCTGGAGGTCAATTCCTCCCAGTGATACCTACAACAATCAAGGCTTAACTACAACAAGACTGTACACAAAGCTCACAAAGGGGTGCACCAAGAGTGTCCACCTCAGGTCATTGAGGAGGCTGAGCCACTGGGCCCTATAGGACACCTAGCACAGAGAGCTACTCTATCAACACAGGGAAGCATAAAAAATGCGGAGACAAAGAAACAGGTCACAAATGACAGAAATGGAGGAAAGCAAACTACTGGATATAGAGTTCAAAACCACACTTATAAGGTTTTTCAAGAATTTTCTAGAAACCGCCAATAAATTCAGTGAGACCCTCAAGAAATCTAGTAAGACCCTCAAAGATATGAACAAGGACCAACTAGAAATTAAGCATACACTGACTGAAATAAAGAATATTATACAGAGTTCCAACAGCAGACTAGAGGATTGCAAGAATCAAGTCAAAGATTTGAAATACAAAGAAGCAAAAATCACCCAACCAGAAAAACAAAAAGAATCCAAAAATATGAAGATAGTGTAAGGAGCCTCTGGGACAACTTCAAGCAAACCAACATCCAAATTATGGGGGTGCCAGAAGAAGAGAGAGAGCAAGATATTGAAAACCTATTTGAAGAAATAATGACAGAAAACTTCCCCTACCTGGTGAAAGAAATAGATTTACAAGTCCAGGAAGAGCAGAGAACCCCAAACAAAAGGAATCCAAAGAGGACCACACCAAGACACATCATAATTAAAATGCCAAGAGCAAAAGACAAAGAGAGAATCTTAAAAGCAGCAAGAGAAAGAAAGTTAGTTACCTACAAGGGAGTACCCATACGACTGTCAGCTGATTTCTCAACAGAAACTATGCAGGCCAGAAGGGAGTGGCAAGAAATATTCAAAGTGATGAATAGCAAGAACCTACAACCAAGATTACTTTACCCAACAAAGCTATCATTCAGAATTGAAGGTCAGATAAAGAGCTTCACAGATAAGAAAAAGCTAAAGGAGTTCATCACCACCAAACCAGTATTGTATTAAATGCTGAAAGGTATCCTATAAGAAGAGGAAGAAGAAGAAAAAGGTAAAGATACAAATTATGAACAACAAATACACATCTATCAACAAGTGAATCTAAAAATCAAGTGAAAAAATCATCTGATGAACAGAATAAACTGGTGAATATAATAGAATCAGGGGCATAGAAAGGGAATGGACTGACTATTCTTGGGGGGAAAAGGGGTGTGGGGGTGCGGGAAGAGACTGGACAAAAATTGTACACCTATGGAGGAGGACGGGGGGGGGGCGGGTCAGGGCAGAGGGTAGGGTGGGAACTGGGTGGAGGGGAGCTATGGGGGAAGAAAAGAGGAACAGCTGTAATAATCTGAACAATAAAGATTTAATTTAAAAAAAGAAAAAAGAAAAAGAAAATCAGCCCTGTGTAGGATTCCTATCTCTCCATGTGGCTGGTCTCAACAAAAGTGGGGTCCAAATTCCCAGCTCTGCTCGGGGTCCAAACCCTGTAATTCAGATCAAGAATCCCAGACCTGTGCTGCTTCCAGGCTATGTGGCCAAACCAGCAGGATGGGGAAGTCTGGGTGGTTCCATATATGGAGGGAGGAGCTCTGACCTTGCACTCAGGTGGGAAATACTATTTTTTTTATTTCAAGATACACAGTTTATCACTGACTGGGGTTCTGTCAAATGACTTTCTAGAAAGTAGAGAGTCCTTCAAAGTTACTGTTGGTTGTAGCCCCCAGATCTGTCTTTTGCTGGAGCCAAAGACAGCTGTGCAACCTCTCTAGCGATAGGAGTCTGGAGCGAACTTCTCAGGCTGGGGCTGCTTGCAGTAGGAGTGCTTGTTCACTGGGACGATGTGACCCAGGCAAACAAAATCTCCCTGATTCCCTCTACCTGATGCTATGTGGGCTCTTCTGTTCATCTCTGTTGCTTTTGGTTGGGGATCCCTGCATGGGGATCCCAGGGGGTGGGAGCTTTGCAGCCAGGATATCCCTCTGGCCACTTAGCCGCTGTACCTGCTAGAGGGGGCTTTCTCTTTCTGCATCTCCGTTCCTGTTACAAGTCTCTACATGGCTTCTTCATTGTTCCTTAAATATTACATTTTAGATCAGTTATACTTCAATTGCTCAATAGTTTAGCTGTATATCCAGTCCATGGCTGGGAGCAACTGCAGGCAGCCTCCAGCTGCTCTGTAGCTGTTTTGAACCTAAATTTGCATACCCTTTAATCAAGAAATGCAGATTTTGGAAATTAATCCCAAGGATCTAATTTGGTATATATCCATAAACAAGATTTTTTTTTAATATTTAGAAATTATTAAGAAGGTTTCATTGTTTGATTAGTCATTCCATCTACATGATGGGCCACTGTGAAACAATCACAATGGCTGGTAGACCTATTTTACCTAATAATAATGATAATACTAATAATAGCTTATAGTGATTGAGCCCTTAATGGCATTATTCTAAGGGCTTTACATACATTAAAATACTCCCCCCCCCCCCAACACACACACACAAACTAGAAGAATGGGAAGGGACTATAGAGAAAACTTGCTTTCTCTCTACCTATACAATTCAGTATTATATGAATTCTTAATAAGATTTGTGAATTACTTCTATGATAATCAGTAATAATGATATTGTTTTGAAGTTACTCTTTTATAAAATTATAATATATACTATTAAACCCCATTTTACTTGAGACTCTGTGCTGTATTGGAGCTCCTCCTAGGCTTGCAGAAGCTGATTCTATGCTTCTATGCAACTTCTCCCAGCATGGCTGTCAGTGACTTCACACTGGCAAATTGAAATTGGCTATGGCAGGATTACTTATACCATGAAAATTAGCAAACAAAACAAATCAGGGCCCTTTTTTATAAAACACAGTCCTGGTTTACCAGCACACCATTGATAGTGAGCCTCAGAGAGATCTCACCATTTTTCCCTTTCTCTCTCCTTCCCTGCCTCCTTCCTCCCTGCCTTCCTCTTTTCTTCCCTTCCTCATACCTCTTAGATATGTTTTAGATATTTACTGATTTTATGGAGTTAGAATTAGCAGAGATAACAGTTATTAAACAACTGTATAAGTAATTATATAGATATGTTATGATAAATGCTAAAAAGGGGGAGAAATAAATAGAAAATGACATGAGAGTTTATTAAAGGGAGATCTACTCTTGTCTGAGTTAGCAAAGACTTTTGGGTATTGTTGCTTGTTTTAATTAAAATTGAATAGTTATATTCAGTCTTTTCATCTTTTAATTAATCTATTTTTTGGTATTTTACTCACTAACCAGAATGTAATAGAGATGAATGTTCTTTATTATTTTTTCTGGAAGATAATACTTTTTTGAGTATGTGGATGTTGATACTTAAATGTAATAGTCTGATCCTTGCACATTATCTGTTCTCCACATTTATTGTTATCTGTAGAAGGCACTATGCATAAGTAACTCGACATGGCTGGTAATATTTTCATCGGCATTTTAAAAGTGCACAAGGAGGTAAAAGTTGGTTTAGTGGTTGATGTTTTTTAAATTATTTGACAAACTTTAGCGCTTTCTCATGTTATAGGAATTTATACAAAAATACTTTTCTCAGTTTGATCTATCTAAGAATAGAGATCCCAAGCTTGTAAATTTTCAGATGCATATAGTTGTCTACATGTTTTTTCTTCCCTCTCCTTGGCTCTAGAAGTTTTTTTTTTATAACTCTTTCCTCTAATAATCAGGCTCAGTCTCAAGGAGCAATTACATTTAAGATCATACCCAGCATCAAAGAGGAGACACCATCTAAAGAAGGCAAGGTAATTATTACTTTAAAATCTTTCCTGTGGAGGGTGAGGGGGCTAATGTGTTTTTCATCTACTACATATCTTCTTTGTCATGACAAGTTTATTTTAATATTCTTTTTTAAAATTGTTCTTAAATCAGAGTTAGAAGAATGTTGGCCATTTGATATTTTTTATATTTATTCATTTTAAATAAAACTTTCTTCCAGATGTTTATCAAAGCCCTCTTTGACTATGACCCTAATGAGGATAAAGCAATTCCATGTAAGGAAGCTGGGCTTTCTTTCAAAAAGGGAGATATTCTTCAGATTATGAGCCAAGATGATGCAATGTGGTGGCAAGCGAAGCATGAAGGTGATGCCAATCCCAGGGCAGGCTTGATTCCTTCGAAGCACTTCCAGGAAAGGTGAGCTACTGGCACGTAATGATGGCCTTTCTTCAACTGACCTTTTGTTCTCTGCAAAATATCACTCAAGCATAGTTGTGATAAAATAAGCACTAAAATCTTGCCTTAGAGTCCTTTATCCCTCAGATTTGGATTTCTGTTTTGTCTGAGTATGAATAATGACCAAAAATAATATGACAGTACCAGATCATATTCGGTTTTTGTTATGAAGCAAATGGAAAATCACACATTAATATCTGAAACTGTATTGATGTGAAAGATGGCAAAAATAAGAATGATTTTGGAGTGGGGATAATTTATAAAAATTTGAAATTAGAGAATTCAGTTCTTAATTTGAGTAGATTGCATTGTGTTCATTTCCCCCTAACTTTTCAGCTCTTTCTTAAGACTTTTAATATTTTGGTGTTATATTAACCTTGGATCTGCACTGAAAATTGATAGGCATATTGACCTTCTTTTCCTCCCAGGAGATTGGCTCTGAGACGACCAGAAATAATAGTTCAGCCCCTGAAAATTTCCAACAGGAAATCATGTAAGTTTGTTAATAAGAATGCAGACTAACCAAATCTTGGTATTTATTTTCGATTATTAAAGCAGGTATTTGTGGTAGAATGACAGATCATATTACCTTCTGATAGTTTTTGGATCATTTAAAATAGATTAAAGTGAATCTTTTGAAGAAAGGGGTGTTAGGAGTAATTTGTAATAAATCCATGGCTCTTTAAGAAAAGGACTAATAACTACTGCTCTTTTTGAATTCTGAATTTAGGTATTTTATTTCTCCAAAGCCAGGAGGTTTGGGTAAGATATTTCTTGGTAAAGATTAGGGGAAAAATTCATCACATTCTTGGACACAATAGCAGTTGCGCCTAAGAACAATTAATTGTTCTTCCTCTTGGTTACCCAGAAATCATAGTAACTCTGATCTTTTAGTTGTCTGTTTGGAATTATTACCAGACTAGATTAAAATAAAATAAGAGTAAGAAAAAAAATGACATAAGATAACTGAAAAATATAGTGTAGATTTAGGTGCCTTTTTTTCAGCCCACCTTTCTCTCCCTTCCCTTTACTTCTTAACTCTAAAGTCCCCCATCCCATAAATTTTCTACTTCAACTCTTCTAAATGTTTAAGGTATTTTAAGAGTTAAAAAAATATCCCTTTGTTTTCAGCATGGAAATTGTACATTAAAAGGCAAATGAAAAAAATAAATGGTCCTGGAATTTTACACCAACATCTGTTTTTAGTATTGTTGCATTTTTCACATCTCCTGTTATTTCTGTCAGTTTGTAGAAGCTTATAGCCCAGGAATTACATCATTAGAGAGCCAAACTACAGTCAGTATAAATCTCCCAAGCAAGCAAATACTTCAAGTGCAGCACTGATTCAAAAGCCTGCTTGTTCTTGCTCTGCTAAGTCTGGGCAGAAAGAAAAAACAAACTTGTTGTAGAATGTCACATGTATTGTGACATCAGAAACTTAAAGTTGAACTAGAACGATGCCTTATTTTAAAGTGTGATGTATTTTCACTGACAACTCACCCAGTTGAAAGGACCTCTGAGACATCCATCTCACTTGCTCTGTGAGAAGTTTAAATTTGGGGCTGCACATTTCTAATATATCTGGTGCATATGGGATAAAATATGTATAACTTAAAAATGAAATTAATGTGATTCTCTTTGAATCTGAATCCATACTCAAATTAGTACAATTTGATATAATTACAAATTTTCATTTATTTAAAAATGTTGATAAATATTTCTTTGAAGAACTATGTAAGTTGAATAGGTTGTCTTTATAGTACATTTCCCAAACTGGTTTCAGTATAGATGTGCACGAATGTGAGGTGGGGTGGGTGTGTGTGTGTGTTTAAGCAATAATTGTAATGGAGGCTTTTTCTGTGTTAATTTGTGTAAATTTTTATATTGATACTTCAGTATTTGAATTTGAGAAATATTTATTTAAGGATTTATTTTTACTGAAATGTCCTCATTTGGATGTTTTAGTATTGTTCTCTCTTTTTTTGCCTCTTTAATATTATTTAAAAATATTTACTGATCCTCCTTTAACCCTTTCTTCCTTATGTTTTTTTTCTTTTCTTTGTCTCTTTCCTATTTTTATCTTTTACTAAACTCTGATTCACTGAGAAATGCATTGTTTGTTCTCATATATGAATGTTATTTATTTTGAATAGAAATAAATCTGGTCAATATTATCTCAGTTAAATCACAAGTGTATAATATATATGGCCATGTTCAGAGACAGTATATTTTTTATGAAAACTAAATAGCAAGCTAATAACTTTATTCTAAAATAATTAAAATTCAATTTTTATGAGCATTTTTATTTATTAATAGATATTACCAAATTGCCTTCAGTGAGATTGTACTAGGTAACAATACCATCCACAGTGTATGACCATCATTAATTCATTCATTCATTCAAATGGCTTGCCATTGGCCAGGTGGGGCAGAGGGTACATGATGCGTCCCTCTGCAACTCCCAGGCCCTTACAATCTTAGCATCTTCATTGTTTCTTTTCTTTCCTGTCTCATCTTCTTTAGCATGAATAAATACAGTGTTTCAGAACAGTGTCTGATATAATTCACATAAAATCCACTGTTTTAAAGCGTACCACTAGTAGTTTTCAGTACACTTACAGGGTTATGCAACCGTCACCATTATTTAGTTCCAGAACATTTTCACCACCCCCAAAAGAAACCCCATTAGCAGTCACTTCCCATGATTTCCTGCCTCTAGCCCATGGCAAACATTAATCTATTTTCTGCTCTATGAATTTGCCTATTCTGGACATTTCATATAGATGGAATCATATAACATATGACCTTTTATAACTGACTTTTTTCATTTAGCGTAATGTGTTCAAGGTTCATTCATATTGTGGCATGGGTCAGTACTTAATTTCTTTTTATGGCTGAATAATATTCCAATGTATGGCTGTATCACACTTAGTTTAACCATTCATCAGTTAATGGGCATTTGGGTTGTTTACACCTTTTGGCTATTAGGAACAATGCTGCTATGAACATTCATGTTTGACTTTTTGGTGAGGACACATGCTTTAATTTCTCATGGGAATATACCTACGATGCCCTACCAAAGTTACACATGGTAACTATACGTTTAACTTTTTGAGAAATTGCCAAACTGTTTTCCATAGCAACTGCACCATGTCACATTTCATCAGCAATGTGTGAGGGTTCCAGCTTCTCCACATCCCTGTCAACACTTGTTATTGTTTGTGTTTTTTACTATAGCCATCAGCGTGGGCATGAAGTGGGATCTTACTGTGTGTGTGTGTGTGTGTTTTTACTTTATTTTTATTGGTGACACTATTGCAGATGTCCCTATTTTGCCCACCTCCACCCAGCCCTCTCCCCCTTCCCTCTGGCCATCACCACACTGTTGTCTGTGTCTATGGGTTATGCATATGTGTTCTTTGGCTAATCTTCATTTGAAATTTTTGTTGTTGTTGTATGAGAAACCCTTAAACTCAAAAGTTATGCAATACTCATGGTACTGGTTTTGAACATTTTTAAAGGCATTTAAAAGCACTTTGTTTTGTAACCTGTGTATTTGATAGTGATATAACTAAATTTTGTAAAGGCCATATGACTCAACACTTCCTGCACTTCAACATTTGGCACTTAAATATTTGGAATAGGACATTCATGTCATCATGCCCTAGGTTAAATTATAGAATAAGGCTATGAAGAAAAACAAAGATGATATAAAATCTTTTATTTTTATGACTCTGAATAATAATTCATGAAATAGGCTTTAAGAAAAGTATACAATTTAATACAAAATGTCTAAAAGAATAATTTTGTCATGTTGGTGTTTACACATTTATGAAAAACTATTCATATTGATAAAAATTGTATAAGTGCACTTAAAACCTAGGAAGATATTGTTAAGCATTGAATTTAGAATAATGACTTCAGTCAGGTAATAGTATATATCAAATTGGGCAGTTAACACTTTTCACAAAGTGGTTGCTTGTATTACTATGATTTTACTCTTTATTTGATTTCACAGTGTATTGTTATAACTAAAGTTTGCATGGAGAAAAAGTTCATAGACGAGGGCTCTGGAAATATAGGGGTTCAGTTGATGTCAACATAGAAGTGAAAAAGGACTAGAGAATCCTAATCCTAGTATTTTTCATTTAGATTTGTTCTGGAGTGCTGGATCTTGGCTCCATGATAAATAAAATCTGGAGCCGAGATAATGCCAATTTTAACACTGCCATCCTTATGCAAAGCTCTTAAGTGTGGGTGATATTCATCTTTGCTGCTTGGTTATTTCCTCTCCTTATCTAATACATACCCAGAGAATAGGCTTCTCAAACAAACTAATTTGCCTTTTGAAAATAAAACATACTAGTACCTAACTAAAAACTGAAACTTAAACTCTTAAACATTCCTAAATCTTAGAAACTTGATATAGGGACTCATCTTATCTTCCTCTTCTTCTTTTTTTTTTAAATTGTTTTTTTATTTTTTGAAGAAATGCTTATTTAACAAAGAAATTATTAATAGAATTTTGTGCTCCCTTCTTCCCTCCTTTATCTAATGCTGGGCTCACACTAGTAGATTTATATTAGTAATAGAGACAGAAGAGCAGACCCAGAACTCTGATAGGTTTTCTTTGATATGACCAACTTTTAGAATATTATATGAAAGACACAGGTTAAGTGTTTTGGAAATGAGTAACAGTGTATCTTATGTCTTATGTAGCATATAGGAGTGGTTTTCATCACAAACTTGGCAGCTTGCAATTCATGTGTCGATATAAAGTATTCTGATTTTCTGCTAAAAGCTTATTTTTATAATTCAGTTGCATTTATAAAGCAGTATTATATCACCTAATCTTTAAAAAGAAATATGAATTTTTTGACTACTTGAAATGTTATTTGTTTCCATTCTATTGAAATTGAAGTATTAAGTTAAGAATAGTGCTCCTAATAGCATAAATATTAATTGAACTTTAACTTCAATAGGCTGTAATTTATATTTAAATCCAGTTTATATGGTATTCAGAAAAGGCTCTTATTCATATAGTGTATTTTACAGCAGAATATTCAGATACGATATTTATAGTGCTTAGCTTTCTTTTTTTGTTATCAAGATATAAATATCTGAAAATTTCTAACACTGCTGATTATCAATTATAATTTTTTCTTTTACAAAATAGCTCTTATAGAATTCTTGTAACTTAAAAGAACAAAATGTACACCTTTTTGCCTTCTAAAGATGGTAAAAGCACACAAAATATTTTATTTTAGAATTTGTTTTAACCAATTGTGATCGTTACCATGTGGGTAAAAAAGATCTTTTACCGCAGCCAAAAGGCCATTCAAAAAGGGTATAGCCAAGTTCATTCAAAGACAAGCATTTTGTGGATTAAATATCACAATTTACTAACAACCGAATTTAAACACTGACTAAATGAATGAGTTCACTCTATGTGGAACCAATATCCCGGAAGGCCAACTATTTGCAAATAATACA